CCTGTCTAGCGATATCTCTGTGGGGTCTGCGCAAAATGTGCCCAATCCAGCCCCACTTTCTTTTCTTAATTTCGATATCTATTCGATTTTGTGATGTTCTTCTCAACAGTTCTTCGTTGTTAATTTGATTGGGCAAGAAAATTCTCAATATTCTTCGAAGACACTTGTTAACAAACACCTGTAGGCGATCCATGAGACCACGCGTAACCTTCCATGTTTCGCATCCATAAAGCAAAATAGATTTGACATTGCTATTGAAGAGCTGGACTTTAGTTTTTTTGCTATATATATAGAGGAGTTCCACACAGGTGTAAGCATGCCAAAAGCTCTTTGTGCCTTCAAAATCCTTTCCTCTATATCTTTTCTGTGCCCCCATCGCTGTGAACCATACTTCCCAGGTACTGAAATTCATCAACTCTTTCGATGGCTCAGTTGGAGATGTATAGACATTGGTTGTTGGGAGTATTTGACCTCATTTCTTTGGTTTTCGCCACGTTGATTTAAAGACCGACATTATTAGCTTCCTCTTGGAGTCTAAGAAGTTTTGGAGACATATCCGAATGTGAATGGGAAAAGATGCATAGATCGTCTGCATAGTCCAGGTCTTCAAGCCTGCTTAAGAGTCCCCATTGTATCCCTAGTGGTTCTTTAAATGCTCTATTTAGTGCACCATCCAGAACGATGTTAAAGAGTAGCGGCGAAAGTATACAGCCCTGTTTTACACCTACTACAATAGAAATTTTCTCCCCCACTTAACCTTTATGTAATACACAGCTTGTAGCATCATGATAAAGCATTTTAATCATGCGGATTATTTTTTCGGGTATTCCTTTTTCTCTCAAAGCTTTCCAGATAGCTATGTGTTTTATATATCGAATGCTCTTTGAAAATCCACAAACGCCATGTATAATGGCGATCTGAACTCTTGAGATTGCTCTATTATTATTCTGAGAGTATTAATTTGGTCGATACATGATCTTTCAGGCCTAAAGCCTGCTTGTTCTTTTCTCAAAGTCGGTTCAAGGGCATCTGATATTCTTTTTTGGATGACTATAGCAATTATCTTGTTAATGGTGTTAAGTAAGGTAATGCCTCGCCAGTTTTTACACTGGGATAAGTCGCCCTTCTTGGGGAGTTTTGCAATAAGTCCTTCTTTCCACGTTGACGGGATATGTTCTGTTTCCCAACTGCTTTTTATTATTGTCTCTAGTAGCTGTACAATGTTTTCTGGGTGTATCTTAAATAGTTCAGCGGGTATATTATCAGGACCTGCCGCTTTGCCAGTTTTAAGCTGTGATAATGCTTGCTTAATTTCTTGAATCGATGGAGCACGTGTTGCGATTCTAGATTTGCAGTTTTCTGTTGGAAACGTTGGTACCTCATCAATACATTTGTTACCTGTTGAGGCTCACTAAAAAAAAAATTCTCCTGTCCATCTGTGCAGCTGATCTTTTTTTTGAGGTCAGTATATTTCCTTCTTTATCTTTCACTATGGGACATTCCTATTAATGTTTTTTATTGGCAAGCGTTTTAGTAGTGCGATAAAGTGTCCTGGAATCATTTATTTCAGCTGCCATTTGAGCTTTTTCTGCAAGTTCTTCTGTCCACAAGCTGCTTATCTCTTCTTGCTGATCTCTTCACTTCCTTATTCTTTGTGCGATATTGCTCCTCTAGTGTTCTTATTTGTGTGCTGTGGCCTGCTTGTAGAATTTTTGTTTAATTTCTTTTCTTTCTTTAATCTTTTTCCCATGTGCCATCTGAGATCCATGGCTTTAATATGTCTCTGATATCCGAGGTTTTCTTCGCCAATCTTTTGAAGGCTTTCTTTCACTTCTTCCCATTTCTCTTCTATATTTACAGTTGAATTATCGATGTTTATTTCTTCTATCTGGTGCTTTATTTGGTTTTGAATGTTAGAGAAGCCAGTCGACGAAGATCGAATTTACGTCTTAGCGGTTGTGTTTTCTGAATCTTTTGCAATTTTAATTTTATTTGAGCAATCAGTAGATAATGATCACTGTTAATGTCTGCTCCCTCTGTACGCTCTTACATCAAAAAGTGAGTTTCTCCACTTCCGGCTAATTAAAAAAGTGATCAATTTGGTTTGTGTGCCCATCTGGCGATTTCCATGTAGCGCTTTATGGACTATGTTATGAAGAAAAGTGTGCCTCCGATAGTTAGTTGGTAATTAGAGCACATTCCCAGCAGTCTATCGCCGTTATTGTTTCGATTGTCTAATCCGTGTTTCCCATTATATCTTCAGAATTGCGGTTATCACTTCCAACTTTGGCGTTAAAGCCTCCCATCACGATCATCATGTCCTGATTTTTTATCGCATTAAGGGTAGTGTTCAATGTTTCATAAAATATGTCTTTGTCTTCATCGGTGGAGGGTTCAGTTGGAGCATAGCACTGTACAATTGTAAGATTTCTGACTTTGGTTTTGAATCTTGCTATCAGGATTCTGTCATTTATTGGTTTCCATTCTATAAGGCTTTTGGTGAGCTTTTTAGTTATGAGAAGAGCCACTCCGTTTGCATGTTTTTCATTAGGTGGTTTATCAGAGTATAATAGTAATTCTCCTGAGGCTGAGTGATGTTCTCCAAAGCCGTTCCAACGCGACTCGCATATTCCCAAAATATCTAGACGATAGTTGTTCATTTCATGAATGATTTGTGCCAAACGAGTCGCTTCCAGCATAGTTTTGACGTTCCAATTACCAATTCTTGTCCGTTTTTTCGCGCCAATGTTCGTCATCGTAAGATCAATCCGGTTTTCTCTCTTTTCAGTTTCAGGAATCAATAGTTTTAAGATGGGCAGGGGATTAGCCTTCCGCATCCGATTTTGGTGCTGGGTTTGCCAGCTATAGCATCCAAACATACCTCAGGTAAAACCTGGCTTGAGCGACGCTATTTAGTGCGTGCAGGTTTTAGGGTTATACCGCCCATACTCGGCCGGCAGAGCCTCGTTTGCGAACACAGGGTGTACCAAGTCCATTTCTAGACAGTGGGTGGTTGACATTTGGGTAAGAGAGGCTTTATGTTGCGCTTCATTATCCCATTAACACCCCTTCACCTTTGTATACTCCTTTCTTAATCTTTTTATTCAAAGATTTCAATGATATGAACTCAACTTAAAGAGTATTCTGAAAATTGGATACCCTCAAAGTCACTCAAGGCAATTTTTAACAACGCCACACAGTATTTGCCATAATCAATTAAAAAAAAACAATATCTTTCTCAATCACGTTCGAAATGGTAATTACTGTTAAACAAAGATGGGAAGACGGTGTCTTCGGCAAGTGACAAACGTCGCAAGGTGCTCGGTTGCCATATGTTATCAATTCTCGGAGTTGGAGCGCTTCTTAACCGTTATAATATTACGAAATATTCGCCACCAGATCCACCGAAGAAAGGTCAGTAACTTAATCAAAATCCGTATGAAAATTGTCATGTGAATCGATACAACCGAATTTCTGAAACGATGACGAAATAATTATCGATATCAGAGAAAGGTGTTTATATAAACTTTCTTTTATTTGTATACCGTGCGCTCAAATTAGAATATTGAGTAACAACTTTTATACTAATTTACACAGGGAGGTCCGAATTGTATTCGTGAAACTTCAGCAGTATATTCTACCGATAAAAATAGGTAAAAAAGTTCGTATAAATTTATGTCTTCAAATGCTTCGTTTTGGAGATACAGAGTAGGTATAGAAGTTCCATATTTAATGTGATTTCTTCCAAATTATTATAACTACTGTCAATATTTAGATAAAAATTACATCTCTGCTGTATTTTAAGTAAAAAAAGCCTCTTGGTATAAATCGGTAAGTCTAATAACTAAATATTTGGAATGTTATCAATGCATGTCATTATTAACAAAAAAATAAGCATGTTGATTAGATTGTTATTTGACTGAAGTAATAAATCTGGGAACTTTTAATTTTTTTTAAATTAATCATAATTTTTTCTAGGAAAAATTGATGAAACAATTTCTGTTGAACCTTTCATGCCTAAGCATTTCAAATTTATGATTTCAACATTCTTCTTCTTCTTAAAGTGTCGAGCAGATTCCTGGGTTAGCGACTCGGAGAGCTTAGAAGTCCTGTATGTCAATGACAAATATTTTTCAACCACGATAGTTTCTATCAGCCTATTCCCCTTTTACCTCCCTCGATTTTACCCTAGATAATTAGACACTGAAAGTGATAAGCGTTCTCCACGTAGTATGTGACCCAAGAGAGCTATTTTTTCTTCTTGATAAATTCGAAGAGCTTACGTTTTTCTAGACCAGCTCTTCTAAGAATGTCTTCATTCCTCACACGATCGATCCAGGATACTCTTAGCATTCGTCTAGGGTCCACATTTTGAAAGCTTCAATTCTGTTTATTGTTGCTACTTTCAGTGTCCATGCTTCCACACCATACAAGAAAACGGACCAGACATAACACTTCACCATTCTGTATCTAAAGCGAAAGTTAAAGTTCTTATATCTATGAGAAACCTCTTTTCAGCCAATTAACTGTTTTGTTAATGATGACATGATCGTATTGATTATTTCGATTCCACATATCTCGAGAACCATTAGATATAAAAATTTTGATTTAGAGACCTTTTTTTCTTAAAAAACGGCGGAGATGTATATTTTTCACTTAGTAGTTTTATACCGACACGGACAAAATATTATTACTCCTCAACTAGTTAAAACTATGTAGGTGTCCCCCTCTAAGTAGGAGTCATTTGTCATCGAAATCCAAATTTTTCATGTCAAAAAACTCCCAGACACCAATTATATCATCCAATTCCGTTAGTTCAGAACATGACATACATGAACATGAACATTTACACGAACTCTTTTACATATTTGTATCTGCAGAATATGCTGCCGAAGTTTCTCGAATACAATTCGGACCACACTGTATATTGTTTTTATATTAACTGTCATACATAAGACAAAAAAATATTTAAAATAATTCTTTGTTGATTTTATTTTCAGAAAGATATGGTTCAGAGTTGTCAGATCTTGATCTCTAGATGGAAATAGCGTTTGGAGTCTATGGGGCGATATGGTTTCTAGCCCTTATAGCAATAATACATGCTATGGGTCCGTTGCACATTACGCGTCATAACAATGGAGACGTCTTCTCAAAAGACCAAGGTAAATAATATTTTTTTTAATAGCAAAATTCATCTCTATTCTATCTAATTTATTTTTTGAAATTTCGTTATGACCATTCATTTTGTGTCAGATTTGTTGAACTACAATTATATATGGATGATATATACTCAATTATACAGGATGAGTCTTAGATAATCTACTACCTATGTTGCAATGTGACCAAGATATATTTTTCAAACGAATTAAAAAATTTCAAATTTTTAAATAATATTTTTTTCGCGGAAAAGCCTATGTAGACGTGTTCCCTGAGATTAATTGATTTTCGGATTCTAGGAGAAAAATAAAGATGAGTTTTATTAGAAAAGTATATGACAAAAATATAACATTTTTGATAAAATTTAACATTTTCTAAAAATTAAGCAGACTTTTTAAATTTCAATAAACGCTACCTAAATTGGAATTTACCCGGTACCCGGTATAGCCCAATATGTAGTTAAAATAACTATTGTACTTTAAATCGAATTAAAACTTGACCCAAAAAGTTATACAGGGTGAGACAAAATTAATATTGAATATTGGTCACGTCTAAAAGCAAGTTTTTATTTTTAAATGAAACACTTTTATTTTAAATGGAACACCCAGTATATTATTCAGATATTCAATGCGGTATTTATGTCTCTTCAAAATACTATTAAAGTCTCTCTAAAACAAAGATTTTCCTAGATATTTTCATTTTTATGATTTTTGTCAGTAGATCTTTATTATTTGATAAAATCTAGGTGGCTGAGATACGTCTGATGTTACTTCAACATATCTGTCTAATTAGATCAACTTTAACAACCAGTTTTTGTATCAGTTAAAACAAAAAATATTCTCAGAAATTTGCCGAAACTGAAAACTTATCCTACATCAGGGAGAATTGATATTATTCTATTAGTTGGTGAGTGCAGTGTGCATTCACCAATTAATAGAATACTTAAATGTTCCTGATTTTATCTAGTCTGGGCTTTTTATGCGGATATGTTAAATACAATTTACAAAACTCGACCAGCGATTGTCGACAACAAGAGAACCTTTCGAAGTAGCTAAAGGTAGCAACTCTAGCTACCTTTCGAAGTAGATAAAACTCCACATATACCTTTTAACATGAAAAGATCTTTTGAAAAGAGAATAATTTTATGCAATGAACAGGAAAGGAAGCATTTTGAGCCTTTGATTTCATCTAGCTAATTGTTGTCCCTATACGTTTATATCTAGTTTTAATTCTGTAATAGTGAAAATATGTCTTAAACGTGTATCTTTTTATTATCGTTGAATATTTTACTCTACAACCTTTAATTTTTGCTAAATTAAGAAACGCTATATGACAGCCATCTAGACTTTTTCAATTAATAAAGATCTACTGACGCAAAATGATAAAAATTAAAATATCTAGGAAAATGTTTGTCTGAGGGGTAGACAACCTTTGACAACCACTTCTCAATTGAACATCGGAATAATATACTTTGTGGTCTATTTAAAATAAAGGAGTAACTTGCTGTTAAATGTCACCAATGTTCAATATTAATTTTATGTCACCCTGAATAACTTTTCGGGCCAAATTTTAATTTGGTTTAACATACAATGGTTATTGTAATTAAATATTAGGCTGTACAGGGTAAATTACAATTTAGGTTGCTGTTATTGAAATTTAAAATTTATTCTTCATTACGTTTTAGGCATATGTTTCTTTAATAAAATTCACATAACAAATCAATTAATATATAGGGTGTTCCATTACAAAAAACATAACTTTGATGGTTAACTTTTTTTGGGGACGCCCTGTAGAATTCTACATATTTTTATAAAATTATTTCACAATTAACTAACATATTAATTATATATTATTTATAATTAACCTACATATTCCCCCAAAATTTCACCTCAATATAAGCTACCGTTCTCATTGGAGTCTCCGCGTCATATGAGAAGCGCCATTCTGTATATTTTATAATTGATCTAAAGCTAATAAATCTGGAAAGATACACTGCAGTGTCAGAACATTTTTACAATTTATATTGAGATTTTTGTGAATTAAATCCTTTCCTTATCTACAATCTACATTGCTCGTATTACATAGTATTGAAATAATCTTATCAATAGGCTATTTCTATTCAAAATAGTACCAAGGAATACAGATTTATTCTGTATTCCGTGATAGTACACGCACCAATCAATTCAATAAACCACCCATATATTTACATTCTTATTCTTCCTCCATTGTATTATCTATTCCACTCAACGAGATTTAAAACACTCAGGGTGTGGTTGAATTGGTCGTTCTCGGCACTCGATACACCTTAGATCAAGGTACAGTTACTTAAATTTTATAAATCTGCAATATTTCCGAAAGACATGTTACAATAGGTTTCGATACGTGTTTCAGGAGCCGTCTTGTATGTCAGTAAAATGGTACGCTCTACTACCGGTACTAGCAGCAGTTGTGGGATTGTCGGGTTTTTTAAATTCTAGGATATAAGCACATGGTATGGTAAATTCTAAATATGGTAACTATTTCTTGAGGAAACGTTCCTGAATATGTTCATAGAGATAGTTATTTTGTAATTAGATGTATAATAAAATTTTATGTATTTTTTTATTAAACATGTATAATTAACTCGATGGCAGCAGAAAAAAAAATCTTTTGTATATTATATACAGGGTGTTCAAAAACATGTTCCATCTCGTGGGGAGATTCCTCACGTAAATTTAAGATTCATTTTTTATATAATAACTATAAGTCCGATTCTGCTTTGTTTTATAGGTACAGAGAGATCTTTATTTTTTATTGGATGTATTATAGTTTTCTTCGCAGTGCTTTTATTGTGACTGAAATAAAAATTTTAGTCTAAAGCTTGATTTTCATGCATCCGTTGTCCGACGATACGATGATACGATATTAATTTTATTGGTTGAATTTAAAGACTTCGATTGGTTAGAAACGGTTAACCAATCGAAGCCTTTCAATTCAACCAATAAAATTAATATCGTATCATCGTATCGTCGGACAACGGATGCATGAAAATCAAGCTTAAGAGTTAGTATACGTATAATTGTATTGTATTGTATTTGACTAAGAGTGGGTCCCATAGGGGACACTCCACTGAGGCCGCGAGGGCCTATTGTGGCTCAGTTTCTGCAAGCTCTAATTTACAAGAGCGTCAAAGTTCATCCTCAAGACCCAGCCTCTTAATATAAGCCGTTATGTCTGAGGGCGATATGTCTCCTAGGTCTGATAGGTCTAGCATGGGTTTGCCAAACATCTCAAACCTGGTCCTGCTCCCAGCGGGGCAGGTACACATAACGTGCTTCATTGTTTCATCATCTTCCATACAGAGTCGGCATTCGGCGTCTTCCACCAGTCCTGTCCTCTGTAGGTGAGATCTCAGCCGGCAGTGGCCCGTGTACACTGCAGTGAGCACGCGTTCCATTCCTACCGGCCTTTAAGAGTTCTCCTGTTCTATGTTTGGATGGCCCTGCTAGGATCTTCTTGGCATGTTCCATTCCGGGACTGTCATTCCAGTCCCGGAACGTCGCACCCGTAACCCATTCACAGAGCCTGTGACTTGCGAGATTTTTAGGAACGCTAAGTGTCGGTTCTGGGCCCACGAATGGCGAGCCTGCACCAATTTTGGCGAGGGAATCAGCACGTTCATTTCCCTCTAGGCCGACATGTCCCGGTATCCATATTAGCGACACTTTATTCCTATCTCCCAGTATATTGAGTAGTTTCTTACAATGAAGAATCGTCATAGACGTGCTTTTCGTTGCCTCAAGTGCTTTCAGCGCGGCTTGACTATCGGAAAATATGCATATTGTTTTCCCGGTGTATTGCTGTTCTACCAGCAGTTGCACACAGGTTTCAATAGCATATAGCTCAGCTTGGAAAATCGTGGTGTGTTTTCCAAGACTGTGGTAGATCTCAGTCTTTGGACTGCTGCAGTAAATTTCTGCGCCAGATCCTTTTTCGTTTTTGGATCCGTCCGTGTACCAACACATTTCCGCATGTAATAAACCGTTTCCCGGCTTATCCCACTCGTTCCTATTCGGAAACAGGACGTTGTAGGTGCGCGTCAAGAGTTGGACTGGTGGTGTGAGATCCGAGACCATTCCCAGAATCCCATCCGACTGTAGTTCTTCTACTAGCCGGTTTTGTATGAACATGATTGTTCCTTGGCTTCCTCGTGCTATACTTAGAAACCTATATGTAGCCCATCTCGCCTCTCTTTCCAAAAGAATTTGAAGAGGAGGTAGGTCGAGTAGGGTTTCCATAGCTTTTGACGGCGTGGAATGGAAGCACCAGTCACCGCTAAGCATGCTTGTCGTTGTAGTTTCGACAATTTATTCTTTGCCGTTGTTTGGTTGGCTTTCTGCCACCAGGTAACTGCATCATACGTGATAATAGGTCTGATGGCCGTCACGTATAGCCAGTCATATTTTTGGGGTTTAATCCCCAGTTTCTACCACAAATTCGGCGGCATGCCCATAGAGCATAGCAAGCCTTTTTTGATGTTTTTTCCAGATGAGAGGACCAGCTAAGTTTTTTGTCCAGGTTTAATCCCAGATACTTAACTTCCTCCGCAAACGGAATTGTCTCACCATACGTATAATTATACGTATAATTGCTACGTATTTTAAGGCTAAAGAATTATCGATAGATTCACCAGGGATATGCACACAAAATATTACAGTTATCACTGTAATATTTTTTGTATTTTTCGTATTATTTATTTGTATCATTTGTGTGGGCGCCACTGACTTTTTTTCTCTTAGCAAAATTATGCAGATCGTTTAATGCCGATTAAAAGTTTTATCCTCGGTTTTATCTTGATATTTTGTCGATTTCGATTTCCTTGCTGAGATAAACGCAATTTTATGAATTACAATTAATAAAATAAAAAGAAAATTAATAAATTATTTATTTAATATAATTTAATATTTAATTTTATTAAAATGTATAAACAGTGCTACCTACTGCAAATTAAAAAAAAATGGTATTT